CTTCGGCCGGAGGGCCCTAGAAAGGCGGCCAGAGAAATATAGGCCGGCTGTGTAATGGCTTTCAGTCTGCCTGCTGCCTCCTGCCTCCTGCCCCCTGCCTCCTGCCTCTTGTGTGTGTTGGCACTCTCATTTCAATTCCTATTCCGTTTGCATATTTGCAACAAATTAAAGTGCTCGGGCCTTAAAAATGATGGTAAATGTTGTAAAAAAAAAAAACAGCAGCGGAAAACAGCATATAAAGGGCAGATGGCAAGTTGTATAAAAACTTTATGCGTGCATACATATATTACCCCCTTTTGGGATCAAGCTTTATGGGGTCCTTCAGAGTATGCAATTAAAAGTGAGGTGGAGGCCCTCGCTGTGCGGCTCTCCTTTGTGGCGTCAATCAAAAATCAAAGGTGCAGTGATAATATAATAAGCTCCCAGCCCGCAGCCCCCTCTTGTGGCATGCAACACATTTTTCTGTGAGACAAAAGCAGGAGCAGGAGCAGGCGCAGGCTGAGGATGTGCATGTGGATGAGGTACTGATGAGATTCCTTTGACTGCGGCTCATCCCATCCCATCCGCAAAATGCAAAAGAAAGCCGCTGAAAAGCAGTTGCCGACGCGACGCAGCCTGAGTGATGTGGCAACAATTTTTTATGCGTTTGCAGCAGAACAGAAGCAGAAGCTACAGTGAGGCCTCGCTAAGGCTGCAGAGCAAACGATTCGTGTGTTCAGCCGGATAATCGAATGGGAATTGAGGATGAGAGCCAAGGAGTGCTCTTCACTGGAGATACTTGAATTCCTTTGCGATGGCTCTTGAATTCTTGAAGAGTTCTCTCGAGCCTCCACTGTATCTCTTTCTGCCTGCCAGCCCCAATTTGTATGCATCATCTTCAGCGCTCTCAAAAGCGAAAAATTAAAATCTTAGCAAAGCAAATTGTGCGCAAAGGACGGGTAAAGAGATAGAGATAGAGACAGGGATAGGGATAGCGATAGAAGCGGCTAAACAGATGAAAAGTTCAGGGTCTAATTGAAGAGCCCAGCCCGCACATGAAGTTTGTGCCCCAAAGCGGGATGATAAATGAATGATTTGTGTGCCGGAAAAGTGTGTCGTAATTAGCATATTATGCAGATTAACGAAACCAGCAGAAAAACTGACCAGAAAAAGACTAGAAGGACGGCTTGCATGGCAGCGCCCCCATACATATCCATGGGGATCGGGCGAGTTTAGTTTGTGTTTTCCATTAACATGCAGCACGCTCCATTTGCTCACACTCATAAGTATGCTAGACTATAGTCTCCGACTTGTTTGCTTTCTCCCTCCCCCTCTTGGATAATACTTAATAATTGCTTTGTTGTAATTAAAACTTTTCATCAATGTTTGCACTGAGGATAGCCGCCGACCAAAGAAATAATTGGGACTGGGTAAATACAAGCCAGAGATGTTTTTCGTAGCCCTTTCGTTTCGTTTCGTGCCGTTTCGTTTCGTTTCCTTTCTTTTCCATTGCCCGATGGCATTGACAGGCCACAGGGCTGACAGAAAAACCCAGCAAATACCCGCAGTGAAGGGGTGAAGCTTTCTGCACTTGCTAATTTGTATCTGTGTTGCGGTTGAGTGAGCAGAATGGTGCCCAAATCCAGCCCAACCGAACCAAACCGTACGAAATGGGATGGAACTGAACCGGCCTGATCCGAGCTCAGTGACTGAGGCACGTACTGGGAGCTGGGAGCTGAGAGCTGTACTCGGTCTCAGTTTTTGCGGGACAGGGACCCATTATTATGCAAACCGCAGCCACAAGCTTTCCTTTCCTTTTCTTTTCTTTTCTTTATTTTGCTTTCCATTCTCCTTTATTTTTTTCGGTTTTCTCTTAAAATAATTTTCATCACGCCCGCTGATTGATTGATTGGTAGATAGATGTCCCCAGCCCCTCTTCTTTGGGGCCATTCAATTAAATGAATATATTAAAATTTATTTGCGAGTAAAAAGCTTTAAAATGGAAATGGTTTCCACTTGATGGAATGCGCTGCAATTGTGATTGTGGAGAGCCTTTCGAGCACTTCTGATCGGTTAAAGCTGTTAATGAGCTTAGCGGAATAATTAGCTGGCGTCTTTCTGTGCGCCCAACGAGGCGTATGCGTGATTTGTGCAGCAAATTATGGACTATCGAATCTATAAAATCCAGAAAAATGGCCATATAGTTGAGTGGCTCCAAAGAAATTATGCTTTCTTGATTGTTTGGAAAACAAATTGAATTCCTTTGTTTAGTCGTGCCAGCGGGACGTAGTAATATTATTTGATAGGATTGGATATTTATTAGCAGAGAAAATGAGGCTCTGTGGGAAATCGCCCACTCATTGCGAATCCGAATCCCAATCAATTTGTTAAATCGCCAAGAATCGTATCGGCAAGGAAACACACACAATATTAATGCAGATGAGCCGAGCCGTCCGCACAAACAGCAACTTGCAACTTAATTTGTATATTTAATTATTTTTCAATTAGCATTTTAATTGATTTATGCGACAACGTCATTTACCATTCCGGTCCCGTATCGAGACCAGAGCTGGACCTTAATGTGTCATTAATTTCGGTCGCCAAACATCTTCGGAGGCCGTGGTAAATCATTGCCAATTTAATTGAAAAGATTAAACATTAAAATATCAATATTTCATTGATTGCATGCGGTGACGGTTATCTGCATTAATTTTGTTGGGCACATAAAGGTTTTTCATCTTACTTTTTTGTGTACTTTATTTATTTCTGGCTCTGTTGATGTTAAAGGTACATATTGTACATATGTAAATAAAATGTCGTTCTCCGGCCACTCGCATGACAAGCACAATTCGCGTGAATCAGATGGAAGCGTGTGGTTCGGGGCTATAGATAGACTTATCAGATGGGGCATATGCCCAGTCTATGGGGTGGGATACACACACACACACACACACACACACACATGCATATGTTGCTCGTTTTCTGCCTAACAGGTTAATGATTGATTGCCTCTTTTCTGGGAAGATCTGGTCAGTGACTAATAAAAGATAATACAATAATTAAGCAATCCATTCGTGTGTTTTATTAATTTGTTTATATATTAATTAGGGCCTAGAAATGCTCCTTTAAAGCAGACAGATGTCAAGTTTACTTTTATAGGGCTAAGTTCGTGGCAATGGAATTGGAGTTTTCAGTCACTAGGAAACGCTATTGGAATCCCATCTGAGGGCATTCAAGATTCGCTCTTCGCTACATCGAACCTCTTTAGTCCACGATACACGAAACACGAAAAAACATATAATATAAATAAACAAGTACTCGTAAATATACGAATAAATTGAAACAACAGGCTTAAAGAGTTGGCAGCCGCCTGTGACAGACAGACAGACAGACAGACAGACTGCAACAAAATACAAACTTGTGAATTATTAAAAATGCTTTTAGAGCTGTTCGAGCCCCAAAGCCTAAACGTTGACTTTTCCGAGCCCTCAGACCGCTGCCGAAATGTGGGTTAAGTGCAGCACATACATACATACATACATATGTACATATGTGTGTGTATGTGGAGATGCTTGTGTGTCGATGTCTTATTGAAATTTTCATGAGGCGGCAGTCCGAGCAGATAATGTGGCAGGCCTTTTGATTAGATTTTATGTAAATACTTTCCCAAGATTGTGCGGTGGAACAAGAAAGAGCAACCGCACACCGGAAAAAAATCAAATAAATATATAATCATGCGGCTGGCGCAGAAGTATGCCGCGCTTTTCAAATTGGTATAAATGCGGCACGCAGTGGGACAGAGGCGCCACCCCGGGGTGCCTGTCCCCCCGCCCCGGGGGACTAGGGCCTCGGGCCTCGGGCCTCGGGCAGAACGGAAAAACCTTTATGAGGCTGCCGCGACTGTACGACGACTGTTGCTTAAAAGCCGCGTGATGAAATAAAATAATAATCATGATGCTGTTGAAAGACGACCCCGCCGCTGGCCCTCCCCGCCCCCATTAGTTCACCTGAAGCGAAAGGAGCAGCCGCGTCGCGAAGCAAGAAGTTTTTTTAGGCGCCCGCCCTTGGGGGAGCTGTGTCGTTTAATTAATTAAAGGTGTTCAAATAAAAAAAAGAGTCGCACTTGCCAAATTTGTTGCCTTTTCCCATTACACACATGTATATATGTACATGAATGGGTGTGGGTGTGGGTGCGGGTGTGGGGGCGGTGCGGGTGTGTGTATGGGGGCGGGGGCTTGGCTGTGTATGTGCGAGAGAGTTCCGTTTTCTTTTGTACGGTCACGTTAGGGCAATATGCCGAAGCAGTTTGTTAATTGGGATCAAGCGGGAACCCAGAGAATAAAGTGTATTAAGGAGGCAAGAAACTTAAGTTCTCGTTCAGCTTTGGGTACGCTTTGAGTGGCTTAAGGAGTTTCTGATATGATAAACAATAAATTTAAAGCTATATTTTATATAGACAGTGACGGACTTGAGTGTATTTCAATAACTTTTCATTTTACTGCTGTTTAAAGAGATTTTCCATAGCGATTTAAAAAACAACAAATATTTTATCCCTTAATGAATCACTTTCTCTAAGACTGACTAATTTTTATATTGCATTATTTTTCACAATTTGTAAGCCGAAAAATATTAAAAAAATATTGGCCCACCCAGCACTTATCACATTTTAATGAGTGAATAATCTTGTAACTCGTTCATATGATTACTGGGAACTGTGGAACTGTTCACTATTTAATCTTAAAATATCGATAAGGTCGCCAAATGGCTCAAATTTAGAAAAAATACAAGTTTGGAAAAACAAACCACCGAATCCCAGAGGAAAATCAGCCAAGGAAAATATGTTCATCGTTCTATGGTTCAAAGAAAGGAGCTTCGAAATTACAAAGTTCGTAATACACAAGGAGAGAATGCAGAGAATGCCCCAAATTTGTTTGCCTTTTTTCAGGTAGTTCTTGGATAATTTGTTTAAATGATGGATTTAGCAGTGCATGCAATATTCGTTCTTTGAGCCATTTTCTTACCTGCTGTAACTATTACCAATTATATATTGTTGTGGGTGAGGTGAGCCTTGCGGCTTTCTTTGACTCTGTTTGCCACTGCCACAACACAGCCCTCTGCCACACCGCACTGCACTGCACCACAGCCCCTAGCCCTGGTTCGTCTATGGTTCGAGTTTTTTGCTTTGAGCTGCAATTGGCATGAACATTTTGCCGGACATTTCATTTGATTATGCTTGGCTGCGATTTGAAATTCATAATTGTTTGCAATTTATTTATTACACGAGAACGAATTCTGTTAACTGGTTCAGACTGGGAGATTGGGTGTGGATGCCTGGCAAATGTTTCGAGGAGTTTTCAGTTTTTTTTGTTTTGGTTTTCGATTTGAATTCACACACAAAAAAAAAAAACGTCATGGAACTTTGGGCTCAGAAAACTTTAGCTATTATCGTTGTTGTGCGTACAATGAGTCGGCGAATCGAAGATCAGACCACAATCGATTCATATTCAATTTGCGTTGATTTTGTCGTAAAAGTTGATATTGGTTGGGAAATTGTCACTTGAACTTTTGCGGCTTATTCTCAGCGTGCAGCGTGCTGTTGGGGCATCCCCGTCAGTCGGCCAGTGCCGGAGATACGAAAGACACGGAAGAGCTCCTATTTATAGCGCTGCCACTCGCGTCCACTCCCAACGACGATTCGCAAAGAACAGAACACCAGTCGCCAGTCGCCAGTGCTCGTCGCCCAATGCCGTCCTTAAACTTCACGAGCTTTCGGCGTCGCACAGTGGGACATTCGGCCATTTCAGCTTGCTAAATTAATGAGTCCCAAACGAATAAAAAGATCTTAATGTGAAAGGAACATTTTTCAGCCGTTAGCTTGCACAAGTAAGCAGGGCCATGTCTAGAAGTTTAACCATAAATTTACCCTTTTTGTTTGGCCTTTTGGTTGAGAGGTTGCGCTAGTTAAATCGATCTAGCAGCCAAATGGCTGAGGACCTCAGAATGCGCTTAATTACTTAGATAAAGAAATATTCAGAGAACACATGTAAGAAAAATCTACATGAAATTCAGGAATATTCTTGGTTTTAAGTCTGGTCACATTGGAAAAACAACCCACCAATTGGATGATTTGAAAAATAGGTTTTTCTTTAGAACTATCTATGCAAAAGAGAGACACCCAATAATAGATACCAAAAACAGAACCATACGTTACAGGGCTTAATCTTTTTCCACCTTAAAGATGCGGTAGGTGATTAAAAATTGAATCAATTTTTGGACACTGAAATAATTTTAAATTTAGAGTTCTTATAGTCGGATTCGCTGAAAAATTTGACTTTAGAAAGCCCTTTAAATTTCTCTATTCATACCACTCAAAGTGCCCATCAAATTCTTAGATTTTGTAAAGCACTTTTCGGCTGATATTCCACTGTGCGCCGCTCGTGGACTGGCTTCGTGTTCGGCGCGGCGCTCGGGCATTTGCTTCGTATTCGGCGTCGGTTAAGCAGTGCACGGCACCGCTCTCTTGCCGTTCTTTGTCTCTCTTTTCGTTACCAAACTGTTGATTCCGCCTCAAATTGAAAATTCCATTTGTTAGTTTTCGGTTTTTATTTCCAATGCTGGGGAATTTCTAGATAGTAATTGCTTCTCCTCATAGACCCAGGAACGAGGAGAAAGTGCGAAGGAGTGAAAGGAGTGGAGGTGGTAGTGGGAAGGAGTGTGACAATTCACATTAGACATTCATGGGAGTATGATGATGATGATGATGACGGGGGGGCACAACTGGGAGTTCTTCCTGTTATTCCTTCATTCTTTTATGGCAATGAGTTAACAATAATTTGTAGTTGTTGCTGGATCTCTGTGTGCAGGCAGGAAACTCAATTATCTGGGAGCATGAGAATGAAAAAGATGATAAATACGAACACTCCTAAACTGTAGGACTTCTGCCCTAATGCATGTACATAGTCGAGCGAGTAAGCCCTTGTCCAGCCGGATATAATCTAACTCTCAGTGTTTGCCTCTCAACTGCTTCTGTCTCCTGTCGACATTTTTGCAGTCCTCTGCCCCGCTCTGCACCTCGCCCCCTCCTTGCCTCTTTGGTGTCAATTAAAGTTTTAACAGTTGCATGTCACAGCAAATTATCGTGGCAACAACAGCACATACACATACACATACACATACGCAAATAAATGGCAAACCGTGGCAAGGTCCTGGCCAAATTGTAGACCCAAGTGCTCTCAGACAGGCAGATACAGTGAAACGAGGTTTTGTAGCTTCAATCTTCAATCTTAGTAGCGGAAGTTTGAGACAGGGTCCTCTGAAGAGACATTTCACTGTGGCAGGTGTTGGGTGGGACACCCCCAAAGGACAGTTTTTCTTCATAAACATTGGCACATGGCAGCACATAACTTGACCAAAACACATTTGAGTGTCATACATACATATGTATGCACATATGTGGATTGCTGCACATGGCAGGCGGCTCCTTCGGAGCCTTTTCTCACCTCAAACGCACACAAGTAGATGTCTCTGTGGCCACGAAGTGGGTCACGTCACGGAAATTTGCATATTTCATTCCGTTGAGCACATCAAAGCGAATCGAAACCAGACCAAAAAATTGGGCAGTTCTCCACGGCAATATATTTGTGTTTGTATTTTTTTTGATTTAGTTTTCAATCAATCCCTTCGGTTATTAACGGTTCAGTGGCTGTGTATAGGGGATTTTCGCACCAGGCCCGGCAGCCATTTCTCAGTAATTCGATCCGAAGAATATCTAGAAGGATTTTCATATTTCTTTTCGTCTGTCAACCCTCCGCCCAAAATTAATTTATCTTCCAGCTGAAATGTGGAAAAATACCGGCGAAAAAAATATATATGGAAATTGAAAAGTTGCAAATTACAATGGCTTGGATCGATAGTTGGCCAATATACATTATACGAACACGAATGCGAATACATATGCATATGCATTCTATATCTCTCTGGCACATTGTTGTTCACATCCGATTGGGGTTTCTGTAGTTGTTGGTTTTGTATTGTCTTTTTTGTTTTTGCCACAAATGAATTGGCATCTTTCGAATGCTTTTGGTCCGCCCGTGCTCTGTGGATGATATTCACTCGCTCTACCCCCTTTCGGGCTGCTCTTTTTCACTGCATAATAGCCAGAGATGTTTGCTATTCGGTGTTTTGGCCTTGCCGTTCTCTATCTGTATCTGTGTCTGTGTCGGTGTCTGTGTGTTTGTGGGTCTCTTTGTGTGTGCCCTACCGATGCATTGAACCAGAAATATGTAGATATGCCAATGTGCCATTTTGTGCTCTTGCCGAGGATTACGCCTAAAAGTATGCCATGTATTTTGCCATCTACAGTGAAGCTTCTCCAACAGCTCCAAGCGGAGCCAAGTGTGCATACAAAAGAAGCCTTTCTTAAAGCATTTGTGTAGCTCTATTTATTTATTTAATTTTCTTGTTTTCCTGCCAGGCTATTATCCTGTTGTGCTAGGCTTCAACTTGAACTCCCCGAGTCAATACGAACTCCACCCACAAGTGGGTATGGATTTTCCCTGGCACAGAACTGGACCCGGACCTAACTCAACCTTTGTCGTGATCCGGGAATCCCCACGCGCATTGCCCAAAAAAGCACTTTAAGCGCAGGTGAAAGGTCAACTGCCATTCAGAAGTCAACTCAAATTTCAAATTAAAAATTGTAAAATATACCCAGAAATTAATTATCCCGACAACGGAAAGAGTCAGGTACCAAAAGTCATTGTTTGAGAGGCTCAGGGATAATTTTTAAAACGTCTCCTAAAGTCACTCAAAGCCTTGGGTCAATTACTTAACGGGCTTTTAGTTCTTCTTCTTATTAGCCGTGCTCTCACGAAGGCCCAAACAAATAAAGAGATACCCCTACTTACAAATCCTGATATCATTTGATGAATGAATGAATGGACCAAAGGAACCCGAGTCCGAGTCCGAATCTGACTGTGACTCCGCCTCCGTCTCAGACTCCCCCTCTGGCCGGGAAATCCAATAAAAGATTGGCCAAACCCACAAAAATGCGGAGCAGCACCGTATTTTAATTATGCGAACGGAGATTTCTTTTCTCTTCTTTGGAGCATTCCATTTGCTCGGGAGATGCTGAGATACTGAGATGCTGAGATACTGAGATGCTGCCGACTGATGCCAGTTGGCCAAAATGAATGCCATTCGGCCAGAATGCAATAAAACAATTTAATTAAATTTTATGCGAGCCAAGTGAAAGTAAATGAAAACAAATAAACCACAATTTACTCCCGACAGATGGCACATGTGTGGCCCTCTAGTACTGTTCCCGGTCCTGGTCCTAGTCCATACTCCTGCCTTCTGGTCTGCCATATCCATGTGGCAATTATGAGCTTAATGGTGTGGCCTCTATCCCGCTTCCATTTGCCACACACTGTCACACATCATCAGAGGAGGAGATGAACAGACTTGCAGACCACCCGACCTGACCTGATCATTTGGGCATTTAAAAACTTTGGCTTTAAGCAACTGTTTGCCAAATAATTCATTTTGTTCCGCTCTCGCTCTCTGTCTCTCCCTTTACCGGGCTTCCTATGTGTGTGATTTATGCATGTGTTTAAAATGCTTTGCTTGTGCATAAATCGCTGGCAAAGTTTCGACTCCTTCTGGACCTTCTGCTCGAGCCCTGTCCCAGCTAGTTTGTCTGGGTCATCCATCCGGACTCCGTACTGCGGGCTCCGGGCTCCGGGCTCCGGGCACCGTAGTTCCGTTTCGTCCCTCCTCCTGCTGGGCTCATTGACCACTCTTATGTTTGTGCTTGGTTCGGTTCCGGCCTAGGAATTTCCTTTGTTTGCTGATTGAAATTGACTTTCAGGGGGAGAAGCCAAGGCGCCAGTTGGCCTACTCAACTGACCAAAAGAGCTACAATCAAATGAGCCAAGGAATGCTGCCTCTTGTCGGGTCATTGCAAAGGTTACAATGAGCGATTTGGGGGTGGCCCAGAGTCATGAATCAACCGATTTGTATGTGGCCATAATCCATTAAATGCCTTAATATTGAACTCATCTTTCTTCAGGCATCATTCTTCCACATTGACAGCTTTGAAGGCAAACAATTTGAATAAATTTTGTAAGCCCCCCATAGTTTCTGTCTTCCGACAGACTTTAAACTCCTAAGAGTCTAAGAAAAATATTGATTATTGTAAGCTTCAAACAAAATCTTTACCCCTTCACAAATTTCGTATTCGTATTTATGTCCGTATTTAGCCTGTTCTCTCTGCATTTTGTATGGTTTCGATAACCCTATTAACTTGTTATCACACTCATAACTTGATTTTCCTTAAATTTGGCGAATTAATCTTAATGTCCAAAGTACTTCAATCTCGAGTCTATCTGTCGATGGGCAGCTTATGCAAATGCAGGGCAGAGACGACTTCGACCTCAATTAGTTGTAAATACAAGCTCTTGACCAATGCTCGGCCATGATTATGGCAGAATAACAAGCATACGCCAGGTGGGCGCCCGACCAGGACGAGGACGAGGGGCCTGCACTCGTAGGACGTTTTTGAATGTGGATCGGGATTGGGCCTATCCAGAGAGGGGCAAACTAAGCCAATTAGCAAAGCCAACAGCAAGCAATTGAACTTGAAGATGTCCAGGATGAGAGGAGTCTCCTGGCAACTAATCTCTGAGCGACTCCGGCCCCTCCTCGTGTGCCTGCCTAATAATATTGGCGGGTTTGTCAGGCACGTGGGAAGAAAAAGAAAGTGGTAGAGCAGGAGCGCCACTGAATTAGACCTGATTTTGATGCGTGCGTCACGTTTACGCCAACGCTTTTCTTTTATTTACTTTGATTCGCTGCTGTTTGTGTTCCTTGGCTCCGTGGAGGGGGAAAAAAGGTCGTGAGCCGTGCTTGTAATCCCTGTCGGTCCTCCTTCTGTCACCTTAGTCACTGCAGGATATGAGCCACAGGAAACTCTCTCTTCCCTGAGCCCCTAAATTCGTAATGGCGAATAAAAGCAGGCTCCTAAGTGCATTTCGACACAATAACTCTTTCGACACAGCATAGACCCTCTTAAGCCGCGTCCAAAAGTCTTCGTCATGCTTTATTCTCTATAAAGTTTCAGCCTTTTAGCCCGATTAGCTCCACCACATGGCCGAATCGAGAGCATTGTGTTCCCCCGCCTTAATAGACGCTGACAACCGCTGAGCCATGAAGATCTCCCCGACAGTTGTCGGCCTCTTTGCACTGCTGCTCTTGGTTTGCTGCCTCGGCCTGGAGGCTACAAAAATCAAGAAGTGCTTCAAGAAGGGCTACACCTGGAACCGTAAGAAGCAAATGTGTACGAAATCGGAGCGGAGAGTAACCATTATAGAAATCCGACCGGGCGACCCAAAGGCAATGAAACCAGAGACTGCCCCGAGCTCAAAGCTACCATAGACTTGGAAGTGAAACAGTCAATAAAGACAGGGAGTTAAAGGCTCGCAAGAGCCTTTGGCCGCCTTAAATGCTGTCCACGTTTGGCCGCGTTGCCCATCAAAAAGTGAATAAAAAAATAGAAATCGGTCTGCAATCGTTGAGCTCGAATTGCCATCATCTGTCTGGGGCCCTAGGAGCAGAGGCCAGCACTATTAGCTGGCCCCTCAACATGTGCGCCGTTCGAAGGTATAAAAATGCCAATGCAACATCATCCCCCAGTCCTGATCCTTCGTCGGTCTCCTATGCACTTCAACGGGAGCTTAAGGCATTTGTAATGATTGAATTTGAATTGAAAGGCAAAGGCAAACGCAAAGGCAAAGGCAGCTGGAAATCTCTCATGTGTTTATTCGACTCTCGAAACTTCTTTGCCCCCACCATCGCCGTTCTGGTCTCCTCCGGCAAGTAATCCTGCCGTGCTTCCTGCCGGGCTCTCGAATATTTTTGCCAGCCAGTTTTCCAGCCAGCTTGTTGCTGCTGGCTGAAATAACATTTTGTTTGGCAGCAGCAGCAGCAGCAAATGGCGATTTAAATTCTGTGAAAATATCGCATTGGATGACTGGGGGCTTTAAGGGCTCTGCTGAAGTATTTCCAACAAATTGAGTTGGTATTTAGTTGAAGTTTTTAGTATTTAAGCTTAAGCTGCTATTTCTTGGCTGTCTCCCATCGCTCTCACTTTGCTCGAACTCTCAAAGTTCATTTCAAAATTCTCCCTTTTGATAATTCCTTTAAAATTTAAGTTTTTCCGTTAACGAAATGCAACCTATCGATCCGAACAATGACACGGCCACCTCTTTTGTGGTGTTGGGGGCCTCGGGGAAGCTGGCCAAGGAGAAGATCTTTCCGGCCCTGTGGGCCCTCTACAGGGACAATCGGCTGCCGCAGGGCACCAGGATTTTCACCTACTGCCGAACGAAGCTCCACACGAGAACCTTCCGGCTGACGTGTGCACCCTACATGGACCTGGACCCGGAGCGCGATCCCCCGAAGTTCAACATTTTCTGGACGACGGTGCACTGTGTCCAGGGGCAGTACGACCAAGCGGACGACTACGTGGCCCTCACCGAGGCCATGGTGCGGCAGGAGACGAAGCACAACCAGGTGTATGCGAATCGCATCTTCTACCTGGCCCTGCCCCCCATCACCTTCGATCACGTGACCCTCAACTTGGGCCGAATGTGTAAATCGCCGTTGGGCTGCACTCGGATTGTGGTGGAGAAGCCCTTCGCCAGGAACGATCTCACCTTCAAGCCCTACCAGACACTGCTGTGTCAGTCCTTCAAGGAGTCGCAGATCTACATGATCGATCACTACCTAAGCAAACAGATCTCGCAGAACCTGTTCGGCCTGCGCTTCGCCAACAACCTCTGGTCGGAGACACTGAACAACCGTCATGTGGCCGCCGTGTTGATAACCTGGAAGTGCGAGAAGCCGGTGAAGGACCATGCGGAATACTTCAACTTCTACGGCATCATTCGCGACGTTATGACCAATCACATGATGCAGCTCTTGGCTCTGGTGGCCATGGACAAGCCCTACTCGAACACCATCGACGACCTGCGAGACGGGCGACTCAAAATATTTAAGGATGTGGTCACCCCCGACATGGGGGACGTGATCATCGGCCAGTACCGCCGATCGGAGACCGATCCCGAAAAGATGGGCTACACGGAGCACAGCTACATACCCAAGGACTCTATGACGCCCACATTCGCTATGGTCGTGCTGCATATCAAGAGCAGGCGTTGGTCCGGAGTGCCATTCATCCTGCGTGCCGGCAAGGCCATGAACGACACCAAGATAGAGGTGAGGATGCAGTACAAATCGGTGGCGTGCGACGAGGGGAACAGCAAGGATCTGGACATCAGGAACGAGCTGGTCCTGAGACTCGCACCCTTCGAGGAGATCTTCATGCGGCTGCGACTGAAGCAGCCCGGAGAGGAGCTCTGTCTGAAGGAGGCGGCCCTCAATCTACGAGTGGACGAGCGAGACACCAAGTACATGCCGAACTTCCGCAGCCAAATCCTGGACATCCTCAAGGGCAACCAGAGCATGTTCATGCGCACCGATGAGCAGTGCGAGATCTGGCGCATCTTCTCGCCCATCCTGCAGAAGATCGACCTGGACCGACCCAAGCCCCTGCCGTACAATTTTGGATCACGGGGTCCACTGCTCGCCTACCGCAAGGCTGAGCGGGTCGGGTTCGTATTCTTCACGTCCGATGAGTGGCGCGAGAGCAAGGAGAACCTGGACTATACGGTAAAGAGCAGCAGGATCCTGAGTGGACCGCACTATTCGTTGAAGCCCAACCGAAAGCCGGCCAAGTTGAAGCCCAGCGAAATCTAATAAAATCAACAACGAAAGTTTTTTAATTAAACAAGTGCAGCCAGCAGGCAGAGTTATTGTTACAGCCAATGCCACTGCCACTGCCACTGCCACTACCAACAACCAACTACCAACTATTACTGCACCAGTTGGCCATCATCAAGTCCGGGTTGCTGCACCTTGACTTGGTCTACTGGTTTATCCAAACTTATCAACACTTTGTTCTGTGTTCTGCTGCTTCTGGTGATGCTGCTGCTGCTGCTGCTGTTGCTGCTGCTCTGGGAGGGTATAAATAACACGCATGATTTGGCCATTGTCCCTTGGCCGGGCTCTGGGGGCTGCAAGGAGCTCGTAAATAACCAGGAGGTAGCATTGACCAGATAGCGTCTAGGGAATTCCCTTTCGGGGAACTTTAAGGACTAACAATGGAACCTACATGTTGTAATGTACTGCATGTAAATGTGATAGATGGAAATCTTACACGGATAAACACAAAGCTATATGTAGGACGGGTAAGTTCCAATCTCTGGCTGCTCCTCTCTTCACGGCTTCGTAACAGATATGCCCCGCCTAAGTTTCTTTCAGTTTGTTAGAGTATTAACTGCTACTAGCCGTAGTCAGGCGTTGGCCAGTTGTTGTTCTGCAGGAGCTGGCAAGTTGCCGGCTCTGGCTCGGCTGGTTCAGTAAAAGTTTCCAATAACTGTATAGCAGTTGATGAAAAAATGTATGTACATATGTATACCCCGTGTAACCCAAAAAAATACAGAGAGCGAGAGAGAGAGGGAGAGGGAGAAATAGAGATAGCTGCGAAAGTTACTTTGATTTCTTAAGCGCAACTTTGGCGAAGAAACTTGTTCGAACTGCTCAATCACCAGTCTTTGACTTCTTGTTTACCCCGTAAACTTCGCTGCGGTCATTCTGCTCCTGGCTGCTGCGTGTTCCTGCCTCGCCTGATGAGGACGATGACGATTCCGCGGCGATTCAGCCTCCAAGAGATTAAAGAGTTTCCAGTTAAAGAGCTTCGATGAATTGCCATCTAATTAGCTAATGTACTAAGTGGCTTTTGGCTTGTATGCAACACATTGTTATCCTTGGCACACATTTGCTTAAAAGATTTCCCTGCCCACACAGTGGGGGGTGGGGGGGCGTGGGTTTGTTCCATTCGTTCCCCAAATTTCTGCCGCCTTGATTTTTCATGGTCTTTTGTTGTTCTCTTAACGCTGCCACCCACGCATATGCTTTGTGTTATTTTTCTTTTCTCTCGCTGGTTTGTTTTTCTCGATTTTCCGGGTTTTCCTCCTTTCGGCAGCCAAAAAGCCAAATAAAAAGATTCCCTCGCCCTCACCAGCCCACCAATTCCACACGATCCGGGCGCTGTGTGGTCGGTCTGTGCCATGGAAATCATTAAAAACAATATTGTCGCTTCCAATTGAGATTGCCTTCAAAGTTTATTTATTTTATTGCCACCTCCTGCCTCTGGCATCGCCTCATTTCTTTAGCTTTATATCTCTCATAGGGGACTCGGGCTCGCCTTTTTGCTGCTGGGGGGCTGTGGGGTGTCTCAACATGATTGCCTATTTAATTTGCTATAAACATGAAAATAACCATTAAATCAGCCATAAAGCGATTAAGTCGTTTACAATATCCAGGAAAAAGGATGTCTCAGGAATCAGGAGTCACGAATCACCTCAGATCCACCCACCATCATCATCAATCTGTGCAATCCGAACCATTTAGCTCTGCGTAACCGAAACCGAGACCGAAACCGAGACCAGAACTAGAGCCCATCCGTACCTAATCGAACCCCAACCTGAGCTAATCTCTGTCATGCCTCTCCGAAGGCCTGCCCTCACATTCTGCGGGTATTCCATCTATGCGAGCACACACATATGACTTGCATCCTTGGCTCGCTCTCTGGGGTTTTGCAATGCCACCATTTCACTTTTTAATACCCCACAAACAGGAGACCCAAACAAACACACCTACAGCAGGCCCCATAGGGGGGCGGGAGCGATAAAAAACGAGTCCTGGCTACACCTAGTGGCAAAAAGGATTTCGTGTTTGGAAACCGTAAAGTGAAATTAAAATGGCTGGCCCAGCGCTGAGCTGGTCAAAGCCGGCTCGCCTCGGACCGGACCGAGCCGGACCGGGAAGGGAAGGGATAGGGGATGGGGGATAGGGGATAAGGGATGTGGGTGTGGGAGTGGGACAGGGCTCGGAGGCGGTAAAGCAAATGGCCAGCGCGCTTACAAAACACGGGCAATCAAAAAATTGTAGTTAGTCGGGCATCGACTCATCCTTCGACACAGAGCTGCCACCCCTTGCCCCTCCCCTTGCGCATCCCCTTGCCCCTCCCCTTGCTCATCCCCTTGCTCATCCCCTTGCCGTTCTCCTTGTGATTCCCCTCTGTGTGCTGGTTGTACTATCTTTACGGGTTTTTCTATGCTATGCTGCAGCTACTGCGCTACTGGTTCTCCGGCTTCTGTTCCTGACCAAGTTACAGGCACCTACAACGAACGATTACAACCCGTGACACTCTACACAACTTGTGGGCCAACAGTTTGCGGTTTCAGTCGAAACGGAATGGAGGTGAAGTGAAGTGAAGTTAAGGAGAGGAAAGATTCTCTGGTCAACATTTCAAATTGCTTAATTTAAAAGTGACTGGCAAAAAAGGAGCAACATTCGTCGAAAACAGACAGAGAAGAGGGATTGCAGAAGAGAAGGAGAGGGAGAAAGAGATAGAGATAGAGATAGAGACTGAGACAGAGACAGAGAGAGTGTGAAAAAATAGTTAGATAAATGTTGACCAGCTCAGTAGTGGTACGAGTAGTTGGGCTTGTGGCTTTGGAGGTGTTTTTGGTGTTTCTGGATCTGCTCCTCTGCCTCTGGCTCTGACTCTGTCTCTGTCTCTGTATCCCCATCTCTATCCATGGCATCAGGCAGCAACAAGCTCGTAATCAAAGCAAACGAATTGGGCAGATTTTCAACGCTTGTCCCGGACGAGGGCGGTGCGAAGGAACCCCCAAAAATATGTTGCAACAAATATGCCGTTGGGAGTGGTACGGAGGAGCCGAGCGCTAGGATTGCAATGGAACTGGAAGGGTGTGAAATGGTGGATTAGCCAAGTGAGATGACAGTAAATGGAATTGAAGGATGAGATATACACATGTAGATATGAAGAGTAATATGCAGGGTTATGAGATGGAGAGTGCAAAAGATCTTTGAGGTTGCTTTTGCCTCTCGGATTGTCTTTCAAAAGCGACACCAAGTTAGTTACTTAGGTGCGGTCGAGCTCCATTTGGGATCTACTCAAGCCTGCCTGAAAGGCTATGTCCTTGAGCTAAAAACCTTTGAGTGCATACAGTTTGAATAGGAGAAATGCGAATCATTGATTTGAGTGTTAATTCGTTTTGATTGGGAAGCCTATTGCCAACTTTTTCCAGCATTACTCAGACTCCTCGATCCACTCTCGCTTGTTAGATGTTCCTTGTCCGTGCTATCCATACATTTTTCAGCATTTCCACTCTGTTTTACATTTGCTTTGCTGGCGCTCCTCCACTGACGTTCTCTGCCGGTCCGTTCCGTTCCGCTCCGTTCCGTTCCGCTCCGCTCCGTTCGACAGGGCTCCGACACTCGTTACATTGATAACGTTTCATTTGCTGCTTCTACCTGGTCCACTTAACCTGGTCGAATGGAGCGGGGAGCGGGGAGGGGCACCAGAAAAAGGTTTGTTAATTTCAAAGATATTGCAGAATAATTGCTTGTTTGGTCTGGCCACTGCAGTGGCCAGTCGGACAGTTCCTGTCGCCTTGGATTCTCGCATCACTCCTTTAAGGTAGGACTTTAAGAGTTTAACGGTTAACTGCACTTTTTGTGTGCCCTGCCAGTCCTCCGGTTCCCATTGGCAGCCCTCCTTCCGGGGCACGTAAAAATGCGGTTTATAGTTCATGTGCACTCGCGGCGGCATCTTCTCCATGGCTTCTCCATGGCATCGCCATGGCTCCTCTCCTCCACCTCTGCGCTTCTCCACTCTCATCAGCGTCAGAGCTGCAGGAGAAGTTCCAAGGAGCTGTACTGCCGCACAATGGCCGCATGCACGTCTCTCTGGTCATGGTGTTTGAGTCTCTATGTTCCAGTAGTATCTGTGTGTTTGTGTATTTGTGTGTGTGTTTGAGTGCGCCTCGACGTCTATTTGTGTTGGTGCTAAAACGTGTCATTTGATGCGTAGAAATGTCGTAATATGAGCTAGGTGCTCGGCTTGGCTTGGCTTGGCTTCGCTTCGATGTTCCGCCTCCCTGCCCGCTCTATTCCCCACTCGCAGCGCGCTTTTTATGTGCTCCGTCAGTCAGCTGCTGCCACCGTCCTTCCAAAACTTTGAATTCCTTTACCCCAATGCACACCCGTACATATGCAAATTGTCCACGCTTTATGGGGGGTTTCATTTATTTTGCATAAATATTTATATGCGAAGTGTTTTTATTTTTATTTTTTTTTTCGGGGACTCTTTAATAATCTAATAGAGAGCGAAAGCGGTCGTAGACGAGGTTTAGTCAAGAGCGCGGAAAGTTGTAGGACTTTTATGGGTTGAGGTTATATGAATCTGAAGGAGTAAGGCCATGATTTAATGCCTCATTCTCCCTTTATTTATTAATTTAAAATAATTTTTAGGCTCATAAAATACAGATAATCAACACCTATAAATATGTTCAAATCTTAATCGTTTTCTATAAATTTAAATACTTTTCCTATATATTTTCATGGAATAGTGTATCTGTAGATCCTTGAATTATTAGAAAATCTCAATTGTCGAGTCATCTCCATTTGAGGCTTCCCAGCGGGCTTTTTGGGGGCGGACCTCCCAGATTATTTGATTATCCGTGTTGGTAAACAAATATTATGCGACAATTTGTCATTTACGAGCATTGTCCGGATCGTAAATATATTTTTATGTTGCACATTGAGGGAAATTTATTTGTTATGCGCTTTTGGTTTTTATAAACAAGTTATGAAGTGCTTTCCCC